ATGGACAGGGCCTTGAACCCAGGCCCGGCTGACTCTAAAACCTGTGATCTTCCCAATGCACAAGGCTACTTTCCCACTAATTCATTAGGACAGGGAGATTTTTTTTTAAGTGAGTCAATTTAAAGAAAAATATTAAAGAAAGAAGGCCCAATGACATGATGGAACCATGAATGGCAACAGACATGGAGGTGTCATTCCAGGAAGACTCGCGGTGAGCCCAGGATAGAGCTGGAGACAGAACCCGGGAGGCTGGGCTCCTAGTTTCAGGCTCTCTCCACCACCTGCATCCCTGAGGGTGGACATCAGAAAGGAGATGCCTTCACAGAAATTTGCCTGGGGGCCCAGAGGTGCTTTCATACCCCTGAGCCCAGCACAAAATCAAATCAAAGCCTGAGCAAGTGGAAAGTACAGTCCATTCATTACTCCAATCAGTCTCTACCTGTCACCAGCTGTGGCTGGGTGTGGACCCACCTCGGGCCCCCTCCACGTCACCCCAAGCCAAGTCGCGGGGGCCCCTTCTGCAGCTAGGGGCCTGGAAGGCAGGCAGGCCTGCCTGGGAAAGCCTGGAGCACAGCGACTGAGCACAAAGAAAGGGCCCCCCGGGGGATGCTGCAGCATTTGTCGCTTCAAAACACGACAGATACATTTCATGATCTAGGACTATACTGAAAACCTGAACATATTTTTAGCTAAAGGATGAAAACACAGTGGGGTTTTTCGTTGTCTGTTTGTTTTGTTTTTGCCTCTTCTGGAAGGATTAGCACATTGGCCCACACTCTCAACTTCTGCCCTTTTTCTCTCCCGGGCCGACATATGTGATCGAGGGCTCTACTGTGCCAGGCTGACTGATGGGAGTTCAGGGAAAAACAGGTGAGGTGGGGCGTGTGTGGGGGGGGTGTACACGCATGCTCACACATGCACGTGTGTTTGCACACATGCTGGCATGTTTTAGAAAGCAGGGCACCTCAAGGTGATGAAGTCAGACAGAAGGCTTCTTGAGTGAATGAATGAACAAATGAACGAACAAATGGCCAGCCCTGCAGTCTCCTCTGCACCCTGGTCTCAGATGGGACAAGTCTTTTCCCTAAAGTGGGTGACAGATGGCCCTTAGCATTTATCTCCATCATCCTGTGCTCAGTAGTACCCCCTGACCACATCCCCTCCTCTAGAAAACATCACAAGAACAAAAGTGAGGCTTACTGGATAATCTTTTCTCAACATCATTTGTTCCCCAGTCACCAATGGTCGTGACTCCAGGGCTGGGAGAGGAGGGGAAGTTGTGTAACCAGGCCTGGTAACTAGAAAGTGCTCGAAAGAAATCCCTAATAACGAAGCATAGGATTTGGGGTCCACAGTGTCCTTAGCAGCTGGATGGCTGCCCCCCCCCGGCTGCAAGCATGCCCCTCTGCATTGTGATTTGGCATGTAACTCCCATCAAGAGGTGATGTTTATTCTCCGTGCCTCTGCCATGGACTTGGCTGTGTGACTTTTGGCCAATAGCCCATGTGCAAGTAGGACACAAGCAGAGGCTTGAAAAGTGCTGGCACACTGGGCATTTCCCACTTGGGGCTCTTCTTCTAATTGGCCAGAAGCCTGGAGTCATGTCAGTGGCCCTACCTGAACTCAGCCCGAACTGCCGACCTACGAAATCATGAGCCAATAAAATGGTTGTTGTTTTAAGTCACTGAGTTTTGACATAGTTTGTTGTGCAGCCACTGAAAACTGCTACAAAGGCCTTCAAGCAAGGTCCTTCTTTGTGCCTCAGTTTATCGGTAAAATACGTTAAGTAAATAATACATATGAAGTACCTATTACAGTGTGAGAGCACTCACAAAATGGCCACAGTTGTTACTACCCTTGTTTTGGCAATAGAGAAAATGAGGCCCAAGGATGTCAACTGGCTTGGCCAAGCTGGTAGGTGATGCAGTGAGACTTCAAACCCAGATCGGTCTATAATCGGTTTGTTCTGCTGGCATCCTGCCCTGCCGCCCCTGCTAAGAATTCCTTTTTCCCACCTCTCTTCCCCTCTGCTTCTTTCATTTCTACCCCTCCAAAGGCACCAAGTTCAAAACTCACCCTTGATCACGGCAGCCCACCTGGAGCCAGCACTTTTCTGAAGCCTCGATCTCTCTTGCATGCAAACACTCTCCCTCCCATTTCTGCACTCGGTGAATTGGTGTGGGCCTACTATGTGCCAGCAGTGCTCTGGGCACACAGCGGAGAACACGGGGCAGCCCTCACAGGGTTCACGGGCTTGGTGCCCTCCTCGGAGTCCATGTATCCAGCACGCACTCCGCTCCGGCTTGGACTGCTCTATCACCAGTTCACGTACTCTACTCTTGTCTCCCCACCCAGACTCGAAACTCGTGAGCAAAACCATTTTCCTTCATTTATTCATACATCCCTCTCCTCTGCTTCAGCAAGCGCCCTGGCAACACTGGGGATGTACAAGATACTTCAAAGACAACTCTCGAAATGTTCACAGCCCAGCCCGCTGCTGTGCCTCTTGCAGCACTGGGTCCGCGGCAGGTGGCCCCAAATGCTCGAATTTAAATGACTTCTGGGCAACCACTGAAGACTCTGTGTGCAGTCAATAAATGATTGGGGGGGGGCGGGCGTGCTGTTGGCCTTCTGAGGCCCCAGTCCTCCACGATTGGCTATAGGACAGAGCTGGGGAGGTGTGGCCCTTCCTCCAGCACCAGCTCTGAGGCCATCCGCAGGCTGCCATGAGCCTGGTCTGAGCCTCTGCCACCAGCAGCAGTTCTGTCCAGGTGCCCTGCCCCGTGGCCAGCAGAGGCCAGTGTGCGTGGAACGCCTGCTGGATTCAGGGCACCGTGTTGGGCCCCAGCACCAGCTTCCCAATCCCCGCCTGCTTCATCCGGTTAACAACCTGCCGGGTCTGTTGATCACAGGTGAGACTGAGAGGTGAAGTGACCTGCCAGAGGCCACACGCTGGGTTCAAACTGAGTCCCTGGGCATTAAGTACAGTGTTACTGACCAAGATCTGGCTCTCGGGAGATTACATGCCAACTGGGGACACGACGATAACATGACAGGTTTTTTTAAACTGCTGTAAGAATTCAAAGCCTGGAGGTAATAGCTTTCCAAAAGTGAAGTTTGGTCTGGGTTTGAAAAATGAGTATGACACACACAAGCAGAGAAGAAAAGAGGACAACTGTAAGCAGGGGGAGGGGCTGGGGTAAAGAAGCAGAGCAGAGTGGTACTCAGGGGTATGCAGGGGGCCTGGAGGAGAGGAGCCCAGCTGGAGCCCAGAGGAAAGGTTAGAGACCTGGGTGGGAGTGGCTTGGGGAGGGAGTCCCTGGCACCAGGACCCAGGTGTTGAAATGCCACAGAGGAAAGTGATCCATTCAAGGAGGTGCCTGAGGACCATAAAAAGGACCTAGACTGGGGAACGCTGGTCTAGCCAAGTCATCACAGAATTCTGAGTAAGGAAGGCGCATCTGGTGACCAGCTTTGCACATTTATCACCACCCTTCCCCCACCGGGGAGGCACAACAGCCAGTTTCACACTCGCCAGGGAGGCAAAAATCATGATGATGGTAGTACAAGAACTTCTGATACACCGTGCCTTCTTGTTCTTTGTTCTATGCATGCTTTACATATCTGGTATCCCTCAACTCCCATGGGGTCTGCAAGACGTAGGTGTTATGATTTCTGTTTAACAACTGAATTTGAACCCAGGTCTCTGGCTTTAGGGTCTGGAGACAATTCTCCCCCCACAGTGCAGCTGACTCAGTCACTTGAGAAGTAGCAATTCTTCCTTTCCCCTAAGCAATGACCCAGCTAAAAACTGTCCGGGGCTCAGGTTGTGCTCCTTAACTTGAAATAACTGAAATGTGAGTTTCAGCTCTCAATAGGTTAACCTCTAGGAGCTCTCGCCCCCATTTTACTGAGTGGGAGACTGAGGCCCAGAGAAGTACCATCACTGGTTAGAATCTGAGGCAGGAATTCCAACCTAAGGTCCAGGCTCTTGGGCAATAGCTCTCAGCCTCTGAGAAGTCCACTACCTGCTGGCCACACAGGACATGACTACAGAAAGATCATAACACCAAAGAGAGGGGTCTTCTAGCAACCTATTGTTCTTTCCCTTCCTCAAATATAATTTTAGCAGCAGAATCCCCACTTTTAATGAGAAACTTTAAAAGGAACCCTAACATACTTAAAAGACTACAGCTTTATTCTACCCTGTCTTTGAGGGTGAAGGGTCTAGAGCTCCCCCTGCAGGGGCTACCTGGCCCCACTCCCCTAGGTTGTCCCTGAGGTTCACCACGTTCCTCCATAAAGAAGCCCAAGGGCCCTCAGGGCACAATCAGTAAACTCCTGCATCATAATTTGGTGTGCCTGCATTCCCCACTCCCTGACCCTCTTGGATTCTAATACCTATCCCAAGTCCAGTGAGATCTTGCCTCCATGTAGGTAGCAAGGTCAGTTCTGGGCCAAGCTGTAATGTTCTGAAATCATTCCTTGGAGATGACAAGGCATGCTCACCTCCTTCACCTTATGTGATTCCTCAGAACAGTGCTCCATTTTGCAGATGAGAATGCTGAAACCCAGATGAGCTATATATCTGCCTAAGTTTCCATCACCAATAGGGAGCAAACCTCAACTTCAGCCCACTGCACCTGACCCCAAACCCACATCCCTGCCTCGGGAAGTTTTGTGTCCATGCTGTCCCCACCCTGACCTTGTGTCTTCTGCTTTGGTAGGTAAAACATTCCCACAGCTGGCAGGTCATGCAGATCTCTTGTGAACGTATACAAACTAAACATGCCCACGGCCCCACCCCAGGCATATAGAATCAGAAGCTGGAGTTGTAAACCATTACATCCCACCATGACAACCCCCTGTCACTTGGGCACTAGACACAGCAAAAATGCCCAGGGTCATCCCAGGTCTCTGGTTAGACTCCCTTTGACTCCTGGTACTGAAGAAAAGGGACCCAATCCCAAGCCCAGCAGCAGAGCCTGAGTAGGACTTACTGTGTAGAGCTCATTGGTGACCTTCAGGAGCTCCTCATGCATCTGCAGGCCAATCTCCTTGCTCTGGAATATGGAAGAACAAATGTCAGAGGGGGAGAAGGTCACTGGTTGCGTTGACCAATTTCCTTTTCAACAAAGAAAGGGCAGGAATTCTTGGGATGGGGTGGGAATAGGTACAGAAACCAATATAAACCTTATTGATCTAGACTTGAATTACTCAACTCAACTCTAGACATGAAACAAATCCACAGGGAGAGGTCCCTTGCAAAAGGAATTCCCTGGCCAAATAAGTTGGGGAAACTTATACCTCCCTGCCTTGGTGATTTGCAGAGACATCACCAAGTTAATTATTCTGAGAAGCCCACAACCAATCAATCTGTTCATCTTTCTTTATTCTGTGGGTGGGTCCTAAGCTGATGTGTCCCTAGCTCAATATTCACTAGCACCTCATGAGAGCGGGGTTCCATAGAACACAGTTTGAGAAATAATGATCTAGCATCTCAATTCATCCAATTCATCCACATTCAGCCTACAGAACACAAGGCAGGAGATCAATGTTGTTGCCTCCTCTGCATCACTGACTGGCCATGTGGCCTTGGAGCCTTACTTACCACATCTACAAAAGAAGAAGCTTAAACTAAAGCATCACCTCCCAAAGCTTGGTCTGGGGGTCACTACTGACTGCTACACTAAAAAAAGGGGGCAGAGGCTTCTGTAAGCAAATGCGTTTGGGAAAAGCTAGTTGGACCAAGGGAGACAGGTTTTCTTACAACAGGACTTTTCAGAGGCTTTCATACTCTCATGTACATGGGCTTTTTAAGGAGAGCTGTAGTATACAGTTTAGATGATCTTGAGGTGACTTACACATTTAGTATATTGAGAGAGACAATTCAGAAAACAATGAACACATTATCTCCAGGTCCCACCCAGCCTGAAGAGTCTAGGATTCTCTGTTACTCAAGGTTTCTTCTTATTATTACTATTATTATTATTATTTTGGTTAATACTCTTCCTGTTTGTCTGGACTCTCATGTGAAGATTTCCATGTTGAAAATGGGAGCCTTGGAAATCAAAAACACAAGAGATAACGTGTCTTGGCAAGGATGTGGAGGAAATGGGACCTTTGTGCACTGTTGGTGGGAATGCCAACTGGTGCAGCCACTGTGGAAAGCAGTATGGAGGTTCCTTAAGAAATTAAAAATAAAATTACCACATGATTCAGTAATTCCACTACTGAGTATTTACCCAAAGAAAATGAAACCACTAATTCTAAAAGATATAAGCACCCCTATGTTTATTGCAACATTATTTACAATAGCCAAGATATGGAAGCAGCCCACGTGCCCACTGATAGATGAATGGATGAAGATGTTGTGTATACATAAAATGGAATATTACTCAGCCATCAAGAAGAATGAAATCTTGCCATTTGCAACAACATGGATGGGCCTAGAGGGTATAATGCTAAATGAAATATCAGTCAGAGCAAGACAAATACCACATGATTTCACTCATATGTGGAATTTAAGAAACAAAACAAGAAAACAAAGAAAAAAAAAAAGAGACAACCCCCCCAAAACAGGCTCTTAAATACAGAGAACAAACTGGTGGTTGCCAGGGGCGGGGGGCCAGTGGGGATGAGTGAAATAGGTGAAGGGAATCAAGAATACACTTATCATGGGGCGCCTGGGTGGCTCAGATGGTTAAGCGTCTGCCTTCGGCTCAGGTCATGATCCTGGAGTCCCTGGATCGAGTCCCACATTGGGCTTCCTGCTCAACAGGGAGTCTGCTTCTCCCTCTGACCCTCCCCCCTCTCATGAGCTCTCTCTCTCTCAAATAAATAAATAAAATCTTTAAAAAAAAAAAAAGAATACACTTATCATGATGAACACTAATGTACAGAATTGTTGAATCATTATTTTGTACACCTGAAACTAATATAACACTGTACGTTAATTATACTTGAATTAAGAAAGAAAGAAAGAGAAAGAAAAGGAAGGAAAAGAAAGAAAGAAAGAAAGAAAGAAAGAAAGAAAGAAAGAAAGAAAGAAAGAAAGAAAGAAAGAAAGAAAGAGAAAAAGAAAAGAAAGAAAAGAAGGAAGGAAAGAAGGAAAGAAAAAGAAAACAGGAGCCCTGATCTCCGCTCCCTGAGAGTCAAGTCATCCTGCTCCCCCTTTCAGCTCCCTCAGCTCAAGCATGACCAGCGGCTGATGGGCAGAGACCAGCCTTCCTCCCTCCCCCACAGAGGTCAGGAACCCCGGACTCAGCAGTAGCAGATGGAGGCTCAGGACCAGACATGATACCTTCCTAGGCTCCTTTTCCTACCTCATAGCCTTTCTCTCAGCTTCTGGTACTTCAATTGCCAGAAAACACCCATCTGAAGGTCTCTTAAAAGATAGCCAAAGCACTGGGCAGTCCAGAGACCTGTTTAGACCTCCCTGCAGCTCTGGTGGCTAAAGATAGGGGCCCAACCCCAAACCACGGCAGAGCCTGAGCAGAACCTCCTGTGCAGAGCTCCCAGGGGGACCTTTAGTTGCATCCCATGCATCTGCAGTGATGCTCAATGAACCCAACCAGCTACGCCCACCTCATTCTATTCCGGATTCTCACAAGGAAGTGGACAGCCTGTGCCTCAGTTTCCCCTGTGGCCCCTCTCCCTGACTTTTGCCTCTCTGACTGGACTCTGGACTCTCTGACACCCTCCAGTGGCCTCCTCTCAGTCCTAAGTCTCACTAAGCTCTCTGACACTCAAGACCCAGTTTCTTATGTATTTATTTTTATGATCTAACATTTTTTGATAGGTAATAAATGCACACGGTTAAAGAAACTCTAACAGCCAGCAAGGTAAAAAGTAAAAATAAGTCTTCCAAGCTCCCAGAACCTCACCCAGAAGCAACTGCTATTAGGAGTTTCTTTTGATACCTTCCAGAAACAGTCTATGAATACACAAACACACATTTGGATAGCATATATTCTTTTTTTTAACACAAATGGAAGTATTCTATACCCATCTTTTCATCTTGCTTTTTCCCACCTAACCATATGTTTGAGATTCCTCCTTTGCAGTCACAGAGGTCCTGCATCCTCCTTTTTTAACAGCTGCCTGAAGTTCCACATACCCAATGTGTCATAATTAATTAAACAGCTCCATAGCAATGGACATTTAGGTTGTCTCCAGTCTCTTAACATTTCAGACAATGAGGGGGTGAACATCCTACCCTGTCACTGTGCACATGAGCAAAGACCCTTGTCCGATAAATTCCTATAAGCAGCTCTGCCAGGAAAGCCCTGCCTCTCAAACTCCCACCAGCCTTGCCTTCTCAGCCCCTGCCCCAGCCGGCTCCCCACACACTTCTGACTCTAGCTTCCACTTCTCAGTGACCTGCAGCCGTGTCACCACTTCGGCAGTCCTCTCCTGGGCTCTGTCCTGCAGTACTTGGAGCCCCAGCTCAAAGACCTATAGCTCTGGCTGTTGCAAAACAATACAGTTTGAATGTCTCCTCATCACATCAAACTCAAATTATCCAAAATCAGATCTGAAATTTCCCTCATCTCCTTGAGTTTGGTCAATGAGATAATACTATCCCAAGCATGGCAATGGGAAACCTTGGAGTTGTTTCTGAAAAAAAAAAAAAAAAAAAAATGTTGGTCTTTCCCCTTCAATCCAATCTGTCACCATGTCCTGCCCTCAAACTGCTCAATCTTGTCCGCTGACTCTCTCCAGAGAGTCAGGTAGCAGGTAAGGCTGACTCTCTCCCCAATATCTATCCCCAGCACTCTTTCTGCTTCCTAAGAGAGCCATGAATTTGGCTCTTTATTGATTCCTCCAGCTGTATTGATTCCTCCCGCTCAGCTTCCAGGGAAGCTGACCCCATCCCAACTCGAGACGGTAGATTATTCTGGTATGAACTATTAGTCCAGGGCTGAGCATGTGACTTAACTGGATGGAAGAGAAGGACTTAGATGGTTGAGCGAAGGTTTTAGCTTTTCTACTGAGGACTCCAGTTGTGACCAGCAGGCACCTTAGGACCAGAAGAGGAAGTAACCTTGGGTAGCAGAGCAAAAGAAATCTGGCTCCTTCATGAGCTGCTGAGAAACTGGTTCAACTGAACCCAGAGCCTGACCCCAGGCAACTTCCACTTCTGTGGTTTTGCTGGTTAAGCCACTTGAAGCTACAGTTTTCTTTTACCCGCAGCCAAAATCATCCTAAGCATCTGTGACCACCAGTCCCAGAACACATCATCATTGCAGGACCCAGACTTCTAAAGCTGTGCCTTAACTAAGTCTCTAACTCTAGTCCCCAGTTCTGCATGCCTTTGCCAGTGTCATTTTGTATTTTATTCCCTCCAGAGCCTCCTCAATCCCTACAAGATCACGACCAGCTCTTTAGCTTGACTTTTGAGGTTCTAGGTGATTAGCACAGGCCTGGTTATACAGTAGAGAGGGGCTGAATTTTGGAGCCAGAGACCAGGATTGGAGATGGAGCTTTAAGCCATTAAACCTCTGGACATCTCAGCTTCCCTGTGTATAAAATGAGCACCTGTTTCTGTCCTTCTTTGAACTTATTAAGGGAAGTGTAATGACCTTGCTTGTTTACATGTTAATTCATTGATCATTTGTTTTCCCCCCTTGAATGAAGTCCCCATGAGCACAAAGAGATATTCTCTCTGATGGCAGATGCTCAGATATCCCAGCTGCTGGGAGGGCTAGCAGCAGACTGCCCCTAGCCAAGAGTAGCCTTCAGGGGCGGCCTCGGTAGACAAGGTGACATCCCTTCCAACGACTGACAGGTTCTGTCTGAAGACAAATGTGGAGAGAGGGGGGCATAGAGGTCTGCCTCTCCCCTCTCAACTGGGACAGCTCTGAAGAGCTGCTCCATCTTGACCTGTTCATAGAGCTGTCCAAGATGTCTAGCAGGCTGCCTGCAACATGGCTTGACTTCTCCCCGCTCCCTCCCCTGCCCTCCCAAAGTGTGGACCCCAAGAATGCTCCCTCGCCATTCTGCTAGATGCCAACTTCGGCCGTGTCAGAGTCTGCTTCCTGGGTTTCCCACTCCCATGTCC